CCACTCAGCAGGTGTGTGTCGATACATAGTAATATAACTGAACTGCAACATCTGTCATGTACTTATTAAGTGTGGAGATTTGAGAATACAGCAATTATAAATGAATGTTGTTTTTATACTTAAACTATAACAGGGAAAGTTATTTGCTGTGAAATCCAGCAGTTCCTTTAACCCTGTGGGTTAAAAAGTGGAAAACGGATATCTGTACTAATGTGAAAAGGAATCACCTGGAGAAAGAGAGGAAGTTGACGGTAGCCTCACCTGAGTACGTGAATACAGCTGTCAGCATGTCTTCACTACTCAGGCACCTTACACACGTCTAACCCCTTCAACCTTTATTCCAAAGTAACCAGAGTGCAGGTGGATTGAGGCGGATTTTCTCTGTAATGTCCATGGCTAGCTTCCTGAGCTGGAAGTAATGTTAAAAGTGAGTAAAAGCTCCCTTTCAGAAAAAAAATGTGTTTAGTACAATAAAGGGGTGTTGTCATCACAAAGGGGGTGCTGTTATCACCCAAGTAGATTTCAATGTTGTCCATCTTGAGAGGGTACCATTATGTGCATCATTAATTCTGCGTATTGAAGTATTCTGTAGATTGTTCATTGAATTAACATGGGAAGGAGGTTCTCCTTAACAGATGCAGAGAGGGATCCTTTAGCAATGATGTTGAAGGGCTGGGATTGATATGTTGACCTTTCTATATTGATAGTATACAGATCTATCTTTATACAGTATATGGTATTAAATGTAGGAAGTAGGAAGCAAAATACACCTCTTAGTTCAATTATTATAGAGTAAAGTGTGGTGCTAAAATCATGTTGATTGTTGCTGTATTACAGTTTGGAAAGATGGAGATAAGGAAACAGAACAATGTCATGTTTTTCTGGGTGATAGCTTGAATAAATCATTACCTTTGACCGTGTTATCCTGGACGTTTGGCTTGTGTGTATCCGTCTCAGTAGAATAATTTAGAAAAATACGACAAAAAAGGACCATGGTGTTATTTCACTGTAATAAAACTTCAATGAATGTGAATTAAAAAAACACATGAAATAAATGCAAGTACAATGCAACCATTAAGTGTCTGCAAAGTTTTTGTTTGTTATGTGAAATGTGTCCTTTATTCATTGTTTTGGTTTATGTGCTCATGTCATTAAGGCCAAGGGAACAGATTCTGGAGAGGTATTGTGTGTCTACAGAGAGGACATGTGCCATAATTCATTGAATACAACCACTCTTACAAACCATTGTTCAATATTTGGGATCTCTGCCTGTAACTTGTACTTGGCTTTCAATGCTATCAGACCTTTGTGAAAGGGCAAGCTGAAAAACAAAACCTGATGAACCCAATAAACCATATAAACACACCCAAATCCTGATTAAATCCAAAGGTTATAAGAAATCCTGAATTAAAAAACAAAAGTTGTGTTGTGCTTAAATTATATAATTATCTCATCATTTCACCCTAAACTGATTAAAACATGATTTAAAACAACTCATTATTTGCAATTTAAAATTTAAAGTTAAATGGTTCCTGCGTAGATCAAAGTTGTCTAAAACTAATATTTCACAACTCTTACAGCAAAGCATTATAACATTTCCCTTTAAGAAAAATAAAATGTTGTGCCCTTTATTTATCACACCTAACTGTGAATCCTTCTAGGTATTTTGTGTAAGATGTATTAAGTAACACAACGACAAAAGTGTAAAAAGGCAGGTTTATGAACCCTTGAACAAAAATGGACACTTTCATCATTAACAAATTCTGAAGCTGTGGAATGAATGTGTTAATAAGCACATCCTTCTTAACTTCCAAACAAGCATCAGGCTTAGAATATGGACCTCTCTGGGGTTTATATAAATATTGCCTCCAACTTTTGACAACTTTGACAGCTGACAAGCAGGTACTCCAAATTTAAGCTAAACTTGTGTAGTCACATAGGAATATGGTTTACCACCCTCATCAATTGTTCCTGTGTGTTTAGAGCTGGAAAAGCAGCTATGAAACAGTATACTGTCCATTCAACACGTTTCTTTTCAGCTGGTGCATGAGAGGAGCAAGGTTTTGAATTAAAGATTCTCAAAAGAGAAAGGGTGCTTATTAATAACAATGCAGTGGCTACCAGATTTCTAAAAACGAGAGAGAGGGAGACAGGAATAAAAGAATATGAGTACCTCTATTAATTTTGGTCCTGTCATGTCTGAAGAACTGACAACCGCTTTCACCATAGAGCAGACGTACTGTTGATTTCAGATTGTCTTTAAAATGTTTTATTGCAAGTGTAGTATCAGGCCATAAGAAAAATTATTATGCACATGCACGTATGTACAACTGTTAACTGTTAACTGTTAACTGTAACTTTCTGTTAATTCATAATGTGTTTTAAAATCAGCTCTTAACTACTGAACATTTGGCATCTGTCCTCTACAGTTTGAGGCATGGAAAAGAAATCCATGTTGCTAAAACTATGACACATGTACAGTGAAACAGTGTTCCCAGTGAATTAGAAGAATTGTGCAACAGCATGTGCACCAGGGGGGTGAAGTGAAACTGCTGTGTTTTAAAAAAAATCTGGAAATACTTTGAGAATGCTGGGCTTGTTTATGCAAGAACACTGACCTTTAATCCACAGCAGCCGACATTCAAGAATTGTTTTGTCATATTTGTTGACAAAAGGTGATAATAACATTGTTTAAATATGTTTATTATTTTTTAAACGTTGTTTTTTGATCAATCTGGTATTGGCTATCCTTTTTCTAACTTCCTTTTCATGAACAGTTTTGGCAGAACACAGTATACTGCATAATGTGTTCTTGTTGCATATCAACTCCTACTGTTGTGACAGTCTTAGACATTTTAGATGCAAGGAGGAGATGGATTCTATATATATACTGTATGTTATGAGCATTACCAATTAAGAAATTAAGTTTGTCTACTTACAATAAATAACAGCTTCATTGCTAATTTTAGTTTGTGTGAGGAGACAACTAAGAACACGAGAAAAGAAGCAAGTAAAATGTGGCCATTTGGTACATCTATTTTAAACCAGCGTTTTAGCTTAAACAACATGGCTGGACAGCCTGAGCCCAACTCACCTGCCTCTCAGGGAACTGATCCCTAGTTTCCCATTTAAAGGGGGTGGGGACACACACCAGTGTACTAGTGGACCAAGCCTGACTCCTACAGTAGCATACATGTGACCACAATACTGTAGCTCAAGACAAACTGTACTGTAGCAAATATATATATATAGTTCATTTGCCAGTCACTCCTAATTGACTCATTGTGAAGGTGTTCCTTGTCACTAAAATCAATTCTTCGTCTCTACAAATCCATAAGTCTGAACGGCTATTTTTTTAACTACAAAGAGGGTTAACTGCTGTCTTTAAAAAATGTCTAAAATTTCAGTAGAAGATTACCGCTGTGTTTCTGCTCAAAGTAAGAAAAAATCGGAGTGAAAAGGGCAGAACATTGCACAACGTCTAAATCTTCTGTTCAGCAGTTTGTACTGTAAGTAAAGAGTGTAAGCACTAGTTTTAGACATTTTAGTTTCTTTCAATATTACTGTTATGGGATACATGATATTTTGCAGCTTGAAAGAGTTGGAATTTTTATATTTATTGTTTTTGAGTTGTTCTACAAACCTTAAGACCTCATAATCACTTGTATCTGTCAAGGGTTTTCTGACTTTGTCAAGGAAACTGATTAGCATGTCTATATAGAAAAATAAAATTGTTGGCAAGTATTGTGTCCTGTGTTTTATATCTGGTTCATTGTGTTCTGTAATAATATTGTTTTGTGTTACTGATTTATAAAAAATAATTAAATGGTATACTCTCTACACATTGTTTCTCCTGTGTGTGATTTTTACAATGTTATATATTATAGGTTAAAGATTTACACTTAAAAGCATTGTTTACCACAATACGTTATCAAAAATGATAAAATCAGCAATAATCTTTTTGGCTATTTTAATATGCATAAAAGGATTGAAAAGGATGAATGAAAAGGATTGTGTAAACCCATGTTAGAAATACATTTCATTCTTGAATATATTTAACAAATTTACTGTGAAGGTGCCATTTTGTTAAGCTTCACTTCCAGATATGACTGTTGCAATTTTATAAGAATCTTCTTGACTGTAAAATGTATGTGTTCAATATCTTCCCAGCTTAAAGTGTGATGTCTCAAAATACTGCCTGACTGATTAAATTGTGCAATAAACAGACATGTCATATTTTAGTGCAAAGATACTTTGGTCAAAAATGTCAGTACAGAAACCATGCACCATATATTATTTTGGATGTTTGCTTTACCTTTTTTTAAAAAAAAAAAAAAAAAACACAGTTACTACCTAGCAGCAGAGCTCAAGCTGTTTATGCATTGTCAAACACAGAACAATCCCAAAAGTAGTGAGTTAGCACTACAAAATGACATCAACTCTGGCTTTTTAAACGTACCAATATCCAGTATTTATTTTGAAGATAACCAGTCAAGAGGGTCAGTGCTGTAAGAGAGACTGCTACACCTTGCCCTCCGGCCATTCAACTCTTCACATGATGTGCTTTCCTCTGCCAGTGCGCTCTGTCAGGCTCTCCAAAAAGCTCTTGTCATCCTTATCTGTTAAGAACGAGAACATCAATTAGACTTGGAACCGAGACGATACTGCAAAAAAACATTTCTATTGGTGAGCGCGATTCTGATTGATCTTTGAAGTTTGATTGAGCTTAGGATAAGGGAAAACATATGGGTTCAGCCCTGTGTAGAGTCAGGGCTTTGTCATTAACTGACTAAAAATACCTGGAGATCTGGAAGCCCCGCTGCAATGTCATTTTGTGTGTGCGACGGGTATTCGAGTCACTAATTACCAAAGACAACCAGGTTGCACTTGCACTTGGCCTGGCCCAGAGTGTTCTCCACCACCAGGGTGTATTCTCCACTGTCCTTTTGATCGCAGGCGGGGATGGTGAGCGTGCAGACTCCGTTGGCAGTGGTCTGCCAGAACTTGGGGTTCTCGGAGATCTTGGCATCGCCCTTGAACCAGGAGACCTGGGGCTGGGGGATGGCCAAGAAGGCGCAGCTCATGGTGCAGTCCTTGCCACGGCGCACCGCATGGTCCTTCAGTGGCACGATGAACTCCGGCTTCTGGGACAGATCTTTCAGCGTGTACTCTTTCATTCGAAGCTTCAGGTGCTCTGTGGGTCACAACCGAGGAATAACAGGACAGCCTTCTCTGAATATTGTGCCTTATTTCACAAACTGTTTGAATAATTCTGGTTTGTGGATTGGAGTAATACAGTCAAAACAAAACTTGCTGTCATTATTGTTTTTTTAAACGAGCCATGGTGGGGCATTACAGTATTAATATGTGTAATACATATGTGTAATCTCTGCATTTCACAGCCAGAATTACTGCAAGTAAAACTACTCCTACAGCTGTACCAGTCAGAACGTAGTTTGAAAACAAGGTTTACTGTGACATATATGTTCTGTTACTGCAAACGTAACACACAAATCCACCAAATTACTTATTACAACTCATAATATTCTACTGTACAACTGCCCACCTTTCTCCTTGGCTATGGTGAAGGGCTCCTTGGAGTCCAGGGGGTCACTGTCCCCAATATCATTGCGGGCAATGACCCGGAAGAAGTACTTGCGGCCAGGAAGAAGGCCAGTGACAGTGTACTTGTTGCTGAAGACGCGGTCAGCAGCGGTGAACCAGGTGGCTGTGCTTGCGTCGCGCTTCAGGATGATATAGTGCGCCTGGCCATCGTCAGCCACATCAGGGGTGTGGTCCCACTTGAGGGTCACTGTGTTGGGCACCTCCTCCACCAGCTTCAGGTTGCTGGGGGGCCGAGGAAAATCTAGGGAAGCCAATGTAGAAGAACGTGGGACACCATCGAGGGCTGTAGGCTGGAAACTTACAGTACATGTTTTCCACTTTTTTTATTGCTTGAACATAAATATGATGACCTCCTGCGAAAAGGTTTGATAACTATTCCACATTACTATTTGAGAGGTTATGTTTAAACTTGATCAGTTCTGGTGCCTCAGATTTCATCTGTATTGTTTTTTTCTTCTTACAGAGGACTTAAGTAGATGAACAGAAATAAATGTTGGCCAATTCATACATCCAGCACCCCCAACAAGCTAGATTTTTTACATTTATAATGATTCCTGCTCCACTGTTTCTTTCGAATACAGTATGCTGATTTCACTCTCCATAATTGTGGATTCAAAGTAGTCTAACCAATATTTGTGACCTAAGAATACTATCTGAGGTTCAAAAAAGCAGCTGACATAGACAATAGCTGTTGCAATTGCCTGTTGTAATTTAATTGCTCCTTATCATTTCACCTTTATTTCATACCAGAAAATTAACGATTGTAGTTGACCAGTTTATAACTCAACAGATAGTTTATTTACATTTTCAAGAGGGCTGGGGAAATTAATGAATTACATCAGAAAAACATCTGAGGCAGACTGGCCAAAGAAGGGACTGCAATGTGTCAAGAAAATGCGTCAATAGAAGCTGCTAAAGGGCCTCTAATTTCAGTAAATAGACCTACTGGGTATCAATTATTCAAGTATTCAATTATTGATGGTGGGTGGAAAAAGTGGGCTAGTGGTCTGTTTGGTAGGTGTGGAGGAATAGATGGATAAGCTTGTGGGAGGTGGCTGATCGTTAATGATCCTGAAAGAGTGCTACTACAGCCTTCTGCTGCTTTGAGCATGCACAGATACCCGATCTTAGACATCTTCCTGTTTGTGTGGTCTTCGCTCGTCAGCTAGGGGGCTACCTGCAACGCGGACCTTGATGTCGTAGGAGGCCTCCCCAAAGTCGTTGCGCAGGTTGATGCGGTAGACGCCGGAGTCGGCGCGCTGCGAGGAGGTGATCAGGAACTGGGAGTGCTTGTTGCCCTTGGTGATGGTCTCCCTGCCCTTAGTGGGGATCCCGTCCTTCAGCCAGGTCACAGTGGGCGGCGGGGAGCCCTGCAGGACGAGGCACACTGTAGAGCTGGCACGTCTAACCAGACCCAGTCAAAGCTCTGCCTACTTCTCTACAATAATTCCATATACTGTAGCTACTGGTAGATGTGCATTGGCCCAGTCTCACCTACCCCTGCTCAGGTGCACCCCAGCTGCGATGATCTAAGGCGAAGGCCCAGGTTCAGGGGCACGTGAACACGCTACATAAAGACCTATGGCTGACAGCTGGGCATACAGTATTTTACCATAGACTTACACTGAAGGTGACGTGAATGCACAGGGCAGTCCCCGCTCGCACCTCCATCTGGTTTTTCAGCTTGGCTTGGATGTCAAATCTGGGAGGGGCTGGGAGAATTGAAATAAGGGAAAGAAACATTAGAATCAAAACAATAGATTACATGTTGATGTGATTTATGGAATTTTTCCCAGCACCACAAGAAGTACAGTACTTAGTACTGGGTACAAGTGAGTGTTTTGTAAGTCTAACCAGGTGTGACCTAACAAGCTAAATGTGTGTCGATGTCTGTGCTTTGGCTCTTAGTAGTAGTGTAGTAGTCTTAGTAGTGAATGTTGTGCTCACAGTGCCGTCAGAAGCACAAGGCTTATGTGTGTATTTGTGCCAGTTCACTTTCTTTCCAGTCACGTGTGAAAGCAGTTTTCCTCACCCGGTGGGGGCATTGCTAGCACCCCCTGGTCCAGCTCGATAGGCTCCCCCACGCCTCCCTCGTTCACTGCACGAATGCGGAAGAAGTACTTCATGCGTTCCTGCAGACCGCCCACTGTGTAGCTGGTGCCAGTGATGGGGATCTTGGTGCACTTGGTCCACTCCTTGGCTTCGTCTGCACGGACCTCCAGGATGTAGCCAGAGGGCTCGTCGCCCATCTCTGGGGGGTTCCAGCCCAGAGAAATGGAGGAGTTGGAGGAGTCTGTCACATGCAGGTCTTTCACCAGCCCAGGGGCACCTTAACAAGCAGACAGTTTCATCAGCTTCTTCTTGGCCCTTTGGCCATGTACCGTATATGTCAACCTGCAGATTGAAATGGTTTTGCTTCCTGCCACACTTTTACTGGTATTATTAAAGATCATCACCCTGTTATATAAAGAAATGCAGCAGATTACTGACCACTATGTATGCAACAGTAATTAAAACACAGCCAAGATATAAGTACTATACACATTAGGATGGCAGTGGCTCTGTGGCTATGGATCTGCACCTGTGGGTGGAAGGTTGCTGGTTCATATCCTGCAGCTGGCAGAGGAATCCTACTCTGTTGGGCCCCTGAGCAAGGCCCTGTGTGTCTCATGGATGCTGGGGTATGCGAAAAGACAAATTCCTAATGCAAGAAATTGTAAATGGCTAATAAAATTATTTAACCCCAGCTGCTCCAGGGGTGCTGTACAATGGCTGACTTCCTGCGCTCTGATCCCAGACTTCTCTTCCTGTCTATGTGTCTCATGGAGAGCAAGTTGGGTATGTGAAATGACAAATTTCTAATACAAGATATTGTACTGTATATGGCCAATAAAGTGATCTTATCTTATCATACTGAATTCACATCAACATTAATGAAAGGAGATGAAACATACTGTTGGTGTGTGAGCTAAAAAGTTATTCCTCAAACTCCACTCCAGCATATTTTGGTTATTTGTGTTTCAAACGTGAACACCTGGCTTTTGGTGAATGTATAGCTGAACCCGTAGGGATGATGTCACACCCCTGAATGGACAGGAGTGTTTAGAGCTCCCATGTCAAGGACAAGTCTTTCATCCTAAACAGTCTGAGGTTCACCTGCCTGGCTTGGGATCTCCAGAGACGATCCTCGGATGATGGTTCAATCCAGGGAACAGATTGCATGTGCTCTGTATTGGCAATGCCTTATTACCTATTGTTGTTGTTGTTTCTGCTTCAACATCTAACTATTTTCATACCAATAACCCCTGAACAAGCTGGTAAAACATAAGAAGTGCACAGGGGAAGTGAACTTGATACAAGAAAAATCCGTTGAACACAAGCAAGCAACCTGCCACCTCTGTAGGGAACATTATTATTTTTTCTCCCTTTCATCATTGAAATTTGGAATTTCTTATTTCTTCAAATAAATAATAGGAAAATGGGGTTGAAAAAACATTTTGTGTGAGAAGGATCATTAGAATGTTTTGACTTTTTTTATGATGACAAAGCAGGTCCTTGGGGTTTTACCAACCAGTGATACTTACGGATGGGATCTTTTGCATTAACAGAGTTTGAGGCAGTGCTGGGAGTTCCTGGCCCTGCCCTGTTAACAGTGGTGACACGAAACTCATACTCCATATCTTCCACCAGCCCATCCACTTTGTACTTGGTGTCTGGTGAACAAGCAAACCGCAGTTTAGAATCGCCTTCAAAACGAATGCAAACTGTTTACAGAATTCACCCAGGATAGCTGGAATGATATGATAGATATGATTACTCCAGGTGTGGGACAAGAGACAGATTCACTCTGCGCTGACCTTGCACAAGCTCCTTGTTGACTGGCACCCAGATGCTGCTGCCCTTCTTCCTCCTCTCGATGATGTAGCCCAGCACCTGGGCGCCGCCATCTTGAGCGGGGGGGCTCCAGGTCACAGTCACCGCGTCCTTCGTCACGTCTAGAATCTGTGGCTGGGAGGCCATTCCGGGGGGCTCTGCAGAGGGAGAGAGAGCACAGAGGAGTGCACGGCTAAAACCTCTACAGCGGCTGTACAGCGGCTGTAAACCCAGAGACTGATGAGTTTACAACAACAAAAATACAGTTTTTGCACAGACAATCTAAAACAACTCAATATATACATTATATAACAAAACAATATATAACAAAAAAACCTTTAAAAATTATCATGCAACTCCTTTAGTAATTTAACATGTTTGTTAGGTATTTGTTCATCCATTGTACTTTTATTACTATTATAATAAAAGTAATAAAAGTACAAATTTTTGTATTGTATTTTTGTATCGGAATAACAAGACCAAGTTTGAAAAAGTCCAAATCAAGACCTAAGATTCAAGTAAGTAAATGGAAATGGGGAATTTTTTAGCCATTGAAGCTGCCAGGCGTGAGTAACATAGTCATATAGAGCAGCTGTAGAATAGCTCCTGTTTCTAATCCTTTTCTCTCACATCCTTTTCTTTCTTCCCCCTCTCCACCGTCCCTCCTATTGTTCCTTTTCTCTTTTTTCTGAATAAAAGGAAATTACTAGCTGAGGTCCTTTTACTGTAGCATGTTGAACTATTCATGCGTATAGAACAGTTTTACTTTCCCTGCTCCACCCTGACTCACCGATGGGCTCTCCGGCGAAGACCTCCTCTGTCTCCAGTGGATCACTGATGTCCTGCGAGTTGACAGCTCGGATGCGGAACTGGTAGGCGCGGCCCTCCTCCACCTTGTCTGTGCTGAAGGAGGTCAGCTTGCTGTCCACCTCTCCGATCTTTATCCAGGACTTCTTGCCAACAATCTTCCTTTCGATGATGAAGCTGGTGACCTGCTTTCCGCCGTTGTCACGTGGAGCCTTCCACTTCATCTTGATGCACTTCCCCGACCGCTCCAGGAACTCCACCTTTCCCTGTGGGGGCTTGGGTTTATCTGCAAAGCAGTGGGCAAGCCGTTCAACAGCTACTGTACTTGCAACGTCCTGCACAGCATCTCCTTGCTGCGACACACCGAGCTAATGAAAGCAGCAGCCAACTCACTTAACTTCAAAATTACCAGCAGTTAACAGAGCTTTAGCTACCAGTGTGATCGGGGGTTCCACAGGCCAACAGTTTAGGTCACAATACAAAAACACAAAATGCATTTTTACCGGGTGCACTGATTTTCAATGCAACTGCCGCAAAGGGAAATAAGAGAGTTACAAGAACAAAAGAAAGCCTTGAAGATAAGGCTCCTGAGGCCAGCTCATTTTGGTTCCTATTAGTTTATAAGGGTTAATTTTAAATAGAATTGGCAGCAATCCTCATAAAGCTTTGGGTGGTCCAATGAAAATGTATTATCTTCAGGCGAATAGGTCTGCATCCTAAACTCACCGACGACGTTCAGGTGCAGGTTAGCGATGGCCGTGCCACAGTCGCTCTTGAGTTTCAGCGTGATCGCGCCACTGTCCTCCCGCGCGCACTTGTGAAGTATCAGCGTTGTGCAATCCGGGTGCTTCTCCACTACTGTGCGATCATCGTCCATCATCTCAATGCCATCCTTGTACCAGGTGATCTTAGGCGCAGGCTTGCCCTTAAAGGGGATTTTTATGTTGGCAGTCTGTCCAGCCTTCACTGTTACTGGATGGGCCCCCAGAACCTCCAGCATGGTGGGGTCAATTACTGGAGGGTCTATGGAAAGAAGGATATAACAAGGACACTGCAATTTTCAATGACCATTCACTGTGTTGTCTTTATGTGTGCATTGATGAATTGATTAACAAATGCGGAGGTATTTTACCCAGTAATGACCTGCTGGCTTCCTGTCACGATTCCCAAAATAATGACTGTTCAAAATGCTAATATGGACTGAGTCATGTGTTCACAAAACTACAACTTGAATCTTAATTTCAGTAAATTTTGATGGTGTTTAGGGATGATCGTGTCTTTAGTGGACTCATACTATCAAGTAAAAAGCAAATATATAAAACTGATGTGTCAACGAAGATTTCCTATTGGGCCATTTAAAAAAATAAATATCAGAGGGCGTCTAAAATGTGCAATGGATATATCTATTTAAAAATAATGTTCCATCTCACAGGCAAGAGCAACATTTCCACATGATTCAATGGGTAAAATGTAAAACTAATTTTCAATAGAAGTGTCCAGGATTAACGTGTTCAGAAAGGGTAGGGTGGAACAGTCACAAGTGCACAAGCAACACACCTGCTATGGCAAGCACTGCCTCACTCTCTGCACCTTTGGACATGAAGGTGTACTTGCCCTCATGTGCATCTCCAACATTGGTAAAAATTAACTTGTGCACAGCTCCCTGCTTCACCACCTGCACCCCGCTCATGTCTGTTACCTGAAAAAAAACAGGATCGTAAGTTGAGGTCAGTAGGTCAATGGTCTGCCATTTTTAACATGCACGAAGATCAACATCAACCCCAGGCTCTCCTCAGACAAAGTGAAACTGCTAGTCAAACCTGCTTTACGCTGCACCCTACAACTGTTAAAGTCCTGTGCCAGTGCTTCCAATGACTAGTCTTGTGATATACAGTAGTTCCTCAGCTTCTGGGTGTCATTGAGTATGCACCTGAACAACCTCCTGACCAGAGTCAGTAAGCAGACTGGTGATGCCTCCTTGTTGGGACTGAATCTTACCGGATTGCCGTCTTTCAGCCAGACTCCATCTACCTTCTCATCATTCAAAACTACACATAACTCAGCTGGAGATCCAGTGGGACACTGGACATCTGACATACCACTCTTCACTGTGGCAAAGCGCTCTGTGCAGGCAGGAAACAGAAATACCATCACTGGACCCTACTTAATAATGTTTACACTTTCAAAAAGTGTTTCTCATCTTAATCTTAAGCTTCTGTAGGCTCATCAAATAACACATTTGGAAGTAACACCAGGACTTCCACTGTATTTGGGGGTACCCATGTTAATATAGTAAGGCTCTATACTGTCTTTTATAAGCCTCTAAAGATATGATTGACAAAAAGAAGGACTGGGAGTTTTATTGGCTTTCCCAAAGTAAACTGTGTTCTCAAAATCAAGTTAGTGTCCTTAAAGAGGCCACGGTAATAAGGTGTTTAGTCCAATCTATCAGATGTGAAAGTACTGAATCCTGCAACATACCGTCCACTGTCAGGTTAGAAGAGCTCACATACTCCTGGGCATCGTTCTCCTGTGTGGCCACAATCGCGTACTCTCCGCTGTCAGCCAGGTCACAGTCATCAATTATCAGCTCTGCTCTTTTGCCCTCCCGTATGAAGGTATACTGAGGATTGTGGGTTATCTCTCGGCCATCCTTCAGCCACTTGACAAACACGTCCTTGGAGCTCAGCTCACACTCCAGCCTGGCCTTACTCTTCTCCTTCACCCTCACATTTTTGAGGTGGCTGACGAACTTGATAGGAATTCCTAGGGATTAAATGTAGATTGAAAATGTCCATTTCAAACCAGAATAACACATGTAACAAACAGCTGATTTAAACCTAAGCAATCACCTGATTGTGCTGCAGTATTAACTTCCTGACGTGGTTTCGTAAATGTCTGCTCAAGAGATACCGAGAAACCTGCAGCAAATTTTACTGAAGTAATTTGTGTTTCATATTTGAAATCATCAGGAGGAATGTCTTACTGATTTGATTGACAAGATTTGGAGCACAAAACACATAAAATGGCTACTTCTGACATAATTTTAATAAGAAAAACACATCAGCGTCATTCACATGGCAGGACATACTGTTAATAAAGAGCTGTGTGGAAGCTGTCATATCTCCAATGCTCATGCTGTATTCTCCAATGTCACTTGGGCGCACATCCTTGATCTTGAGAGTATAGGTGAGGCCGTCCGCAGACACAGATACGTCAAACTTTTCATCCCTCTTCACCTCCTTGCCCCTGACCTTCCACACAAGAGGAAGGTCGCTCTTCTTTGAGAGTCGCACCTCAAACACAGCTGTCTGGCGTTCATTCACTCGGATGGGTTTCAGTTCTGTCAGGAACTTTAGAGGCTCATCTGGGAGCAAACAGAAAAGGGAACAGATTTATGACAACTGTATGACAATTGCTCTCAATGTGCTGTGATGTACGAATTGGATTTACCTATTACACTGAGCTTGGCAGTAAGGGTCTTGTCTCCAACTACCAGCTTATAGGTGCCACTGTCCTTCAGAGTGACACTGGAGATAAACAGCTGGTACTTGGTTCCCATTTGCTTCAACTCATACTTGCCAAGAGAGTATTGGGTCCTCAGAGGCTCATCCCCCTACAGTGGAGAAGCCCCAAAACGGATTCAAGGATGTAGAGCAAAGGAAATAAAATAATTAATAATACACCATGGCCATGTATTATAGGCTTCCATATTGAAAGCCGGAAAGCACAGAATTCCATATTAATTAACATTCACTCGTTCACTGTCTTTCACCCTCCCAGACTGTCAATCATTGTTGTGATGACTTTTTCCATCCATATTTGTGCACTCCACTCCATTTGTGTGACTGGCCAGAATGTTTAAAAGTTAAATCTGAAGACCATGTCAATCAAATGAAGGGAAAAATGCTAACACACCCAGACCAGGAACCAAAAAAATATGGGTTAAGCAACTGTTGCTATACACACCAAAACAAGTATCATTTCTTTATATCAGGAGGGCAGCTATCACATTGCTCTCTGTTGAAGAAATGGATTGCACCAAAGGAAAAACTGGAAACATATCTTCATTGTCATTTTTATTCATCACAGATTTTACCTTGAACCACATCATCTTGAGGTTGGGATCCTTCAGCTCCAGGATGGTGTCAAACACGATGTTGGTGTCTGCTTTAGCTTCTATGTCTTCCAGAGGTTTCAGCACTTTCACCATCTGCAGTAGCCAACAAGGAAGAGCTCAACCCAGTTGTGTTACTCTGGTGACCTATCCTAACATGTTAACAGCAGTGTTTTCTACGTCTAGCCATGGGGACCCTTTAACATCTGAGTTTAGGGGCAACTTTAAAAGCTGGCCTGCTTCAGGGTGTCCGGGAATAATGAACTGAGTTGAGAGCTGTGGCTGTAATAGTAATTTAAAGATTGAGACAATTTTGAAATGGGAAAGGAACAATGGAGTGATGCTCCCAATCTTCAAAGTTACACATTAAAACGTATTTAGGTTCATTGCTGAATGTCAATGCTGTTTCACTTTCTTTCTTATACTGGTTTCAGGCCTAAATTTATAAAACATGTCCCTCTAGTGGCACAGTCAGAAATCTGTCTACCGCATGTTAATCTGTGGCTGATGTGTTTACTATAGAATCTGTAATACTAAAGAGCCCTTAACTAGAATAATGCTGTTAAAAATTAAAATGAAAATTAAAAAACAAAGTAATAAAAGTTTAAATGACAATGATGGTTTCAAGAGTCTTATTGAGGTAAAAACCTCAGTCCTATTGAGGTAAAACGTCAGGCTTCATCATGTTTAATAATAGGTTGAATAGACCTCCCAATTTCATTTTGGATCACCCTATCACCCAGAGATACCTGATAATTTCTATATTTTGTCTCTGTTTAGCCTTTTTACTGTATATGCAATTTGCAACCATTTATCACAATGGTTCTTAACCTCCATTGTATGAATTTAGTGCAGAAAGGTTTACAGTTATTATATTCAGAACTAACTGGTCCAGTACTATGAATTGCTGGCCCAATAGATTGGGCTACAATGGCTGCACTTGGAGATCCCCTGCTCTGTAGTGATACTGTAAGTTTAACCTCAGATGTCAGAGGGTGCTGGCCTGGCTACAGTCATGCTAGTACCTCCACGTCCACTTTCTTCTTCATTTCTTTGAGTTTCTTGAGTATTCCTCTGAAGTCGGTGAAACCGTGCTCAGCACAGATCCTCTCGTAGTCTTTTTTTTCCGCTCCGGAGAGGATCTTCAGCATCTCTTCCTCGGTGATGTGGCGCTTCTCCTCCTTCTTGGGAGCAGGGGCACCCCTGCAGGGAAGGAATATGAGTCCTGCTACATCAGCAGAGGAGTCCGTGTAAAGGCTAGAGGCCTGTCTAGTGGGACGATGGACCACACGTCTCAGACACCTCCATGTATCCAGTTCACAAAAACCAGACAATCTGCCAAACCCCCTTCTTTGCAAATGCTTCATCCCTGTTCTTCCTTTTCATAAGAGCTGCTTCCTGTCTCAAAGACAAATCATGACTGAGCAGCTACTGTTGAGCACATGTTACACAGCACAAGAATAGAACACATACCGCTTTTTAAGCATCTTCTTGAAGTCCACCTGTGGATCTGCAAGATAAGCAGGTAAATATATCAATAAATATATATTTTAATAAAAACAAATTTGACGTATGTAAGGTAAATATTAAATATAAGTAAGGTAAAACAAAAGCTACACTACTGGTGTTCAACATAGCAAAAGTTTCATTTTGTTCCCATGCAAGAGATTCATTTACAGTAAATTTCACCTGACTGAATGGAGGATAGGTAAAGACACACTGGAAAATACAGTACCAGGATGTTGTTACCAGAATCAACCAGGGTGTTATTTTCACAGCTGAAGGGCTAAAAATCAAAACTGCCAAATCTGTTCCTAGGCAGGGTTTTTCTCAACAAGTAAAAAAAGTATGTATTGAAATACTTTAGAAAGTTTTTGAAGTAGTTATTGATTACACAAGGCTGAACCTGTCTCATTCATTGACTGCCTTGTTATAGAAGCCAGGCAGCACAGAAGACAAGGCATCTTTGCCTTCCGCAGATTGTAATTTAAATTAATTAGATTTAAAGTTTTCACTGTGTTCGACACCGCTGACTTACTCCTGCGATGTGCACAACTCCCAGTCCGTGAGGCAGAACCATACTGAGCTTCTCCCTCATAATTAGATTAGATGTCTGACTTGCATGGCTGAATGAATTTCTCACTCTGGCCTTGAAAACAAAAAAATGTTCATTATGGGAACGTACTTTCAGTAACAATGAGTGACATTGTGTAGATTGCATCACCGTGATCATTGGAGACAACACACTTGTAGTTATCTGCATCTTCCATGGCAAGATTCCTAATCTGTGAAGAGAAGAGACAAATTGCATGGACAGTTGAACTGAACTGAAACTACTATCAATTAAGACATTATTTCTCCTATATATTTAACAACTAATTCAGTCAGTCAAATTTTCTTAGAACCAAATGTTATATTTAACTGAAAGAGGAGTAAAGTGGGACCTTTAGTAAGTGTATCTTAAGTGTATTATTCATAAATAAGGTATTCATTTTCAACTGCTGTGTTTCTGCAGATTTCTCTCTGCTAAAGTTTGTTATGCCTATGAAATATATATAATCTATATATCAGTGTCTTTCTCAGTTAGAGAAATATATAATTTGCTTTTTGTTTGTGGCTATGCAAAGAGAGGCAGCCATTCTGGAAGAAGCACAGAGTTTTCCACAGATTTAGCTGTTTTAACTGCTGTGGTGAACGTGGCCTGCACCAACAGCACGACATTGAGGAGAGCACATCGCACACGAGCAACGGAGGTCCATCTAGTGGACACACCAGAGCACATTACTGAAAGACTGCGGTTCCAACTGGGCACATGAACTTGACTAAGAAAACAAAATTATTTATTGCATTTGTTATATTGCTGTCAGCTGCTCAATGTATGTCATGTATGTCTTTATCGGCTACCCTATTATACCCTTGTGTTCAGTATCTCCTTGAGTGTAATCATCAGTATTAATAACAAGGTACTATGTCTTCCCCCAGCGTGAGTTCGTGAGTGAAGGGAAGTCTGTGTGCGTGGTGTTGTTACTGCTTTTGGACGGCCTGTAGGCTGGAGATCTTGGGTCATAAAGTTTTAATAAAGGATTAAAATGTAGTTTTATTATCAGCAGTGTAGTAGAAAGGAGTGTTCTAGCTGTGCAGTAATGAGACTCGGCATTCTGGAATCTTGTTAAAAGATTAACACTGGTCGAGCCCGTGACCTAATTCCTCTGACAGCTATTGATCCGATCTCATCAATACATTTAAGGTTTTCCTGCATTTTGTAATATTTCTCCCCCCTCTTGCTGTTTTGCACGGAAGAGCATTGCTGAAAATATTTCATGTGAATCTTCTATTATGGAAATTATCTATTTCGAGTCACTATTGTACATTATCTTGTAATTACGATATAATAAGAGTATCTCTTATTACGAGATAGTACATTATCATGTAATTACGAGATCAAAATGATCAGTTCAGACCTATTACATTGTGCAATGACAGCACCTACAAACTACCAAGAGCTCAGCTGGGTTTAGACTAGGTTTAGTGTTCATAACAGTGTCCTACGATGCAGAAGGTACACGGACGTGCTTTCGGCTATGATTAAGTTATAATGAAATGTTATATATTTTTTGCTCATTTGAACATAATCATTATAAGCACGAGGGCACACAGACGTATCCTTCAACAAGAAAGACGATACCGTGCATTCGATCCACTGCTTAAAACTTAAAGTCAACTACTGTAGTGCTATTACAGGTATTTTATGACAATTGTGATATCACGTGAGTTATTAAGGACGCGATCATTTACTATTTCGTAATTACGAGATGATAAACTTTCTCGTAATTGTGAGATAAACTCTCGTAATCACGAGATGCACATTATTTTTCCCTCGATGCCAGCAATGCCCTCCCCTCCCCGTAGATTCGGCTGTGGGAACGCGAGGTAAAGTTGTAGTTGCCTCAGGAAGGTTGTAGTTCCCTCTCTGAGCAGGAGGTGGCAGCAGGGGATCGAGACGCAAGAGGTAAGCAAGCGCCACTACTCCATGAAACAGATGGCTCACAGAGATACATATGTTAGCACCCACTAGTTAACTTAATTGTTAAATAATAGTCTTTTAAGCTGATTAAAGGTTTCCCAGGCAGAGTGGGAGGCAGTGCTGTCTGTTTTCTGAGATGTTAAACGTAATGGTGTCAACTTTCTGCCTCCTTAAGGTGCATAATTTCCTGTCAACTCTGACAACTGATGGGCATCTCAGTTGACCACTAATTAATGCCTGTAAGAGTCCTTCAGTTGAGACTGTAAACTCAAATGCAGTATTTTGTAGCTCAAATGCGAAATTGACTGAAGAGTACCATTGCTGCTAAATATACTGTTGGCACTGTTGGATTACACTGGTTGATAGAATTAATTGGGAATGTGTAATAAGATACTAACAGTACGAGAGTGTTTGTGGAGATTAATAATGTTGTTCAAGGGTGTTACCCTCCCTCTTCTTTCTGCTACTTTTGTGAGGAAGCCACAGAGGTGACACAGTACCTTCAGCACGTACTCCTTAGCGATGGTGTCGAAGAAGGTCTCAACCCCTTCTCTTAAGGGCTTCCCACTATCTCTCTTCCAAGTCACAGTGGGCTTGGGGTTCCCAGTCACCTTGGCTTTAAAAGCAATCTTGGCCCCTGGAAGAAACAGAAAAGAGCTGAAGGATAGGAAATATTCCTATATAGTATATCGATATTCCTGACTGTCTTCTCCGGTCTACTTCTCCTCTGAACTTTCACCAATGGGTTTTTGAAGTGTTTAGTGTTCACCGTACAGTAAAACGCTGTATTTAATTTGTGAGCCATATAATGAACTAATGGGCCAACTTAAGAAATTCTTCTGAAGTCCAGAGGAGGTACAGTAAGTTGATTCTATAGAATCAGTCTCATATTATTTCAGCTAAAGAACCATGGTATAAACTATATCGTAGC